ACTACTACTACTACTACTACAAAACTGCAACAACAACAACTACTATTATTATGAATATTGTTACTACTGCTACTACTACTACTACTAGTACTACTACTACTACTACTACTACTACTACTACTACTGCTACTGCTGCTGCTACTGCTACTTCTACTGCAGTAGTAAGAAGAACCGCAACAATACTAATCTGTAATATTAACATAGGTCGCTCGTGAGGCGTTGTGCACGCTAAGCAATGAAGTAGAAGTAGCAGTAGCAGTAGCAGTGGAGTATAGAACAGCAGGGGCAGGAGCAGGAGCAGGACCGGAGCACCCCCTGTAAGGAATGCTATTAGGCCTGTAAGCCCCAAACCAACCCTAAACTTTAAACCTTTTTCCTTAAACCCTAAACCCTAGCACGGTGCGCTCGAGTGGAGGTCGCGCTTGCCCGCGCCACGCTCGAAGCAAGGGCTCCTGGCATCGTAGCGGACTCAGGATGTGCCATTCCGTTGAAAGGTTGCTGGAAACGGTTTAGGGAGTGTGGGGTACAGCGGTTTGGGGGTGCAGGGTTGAGGGTTTTTACGGGCTTGGGGGTTCCAGGGCTTGAAGCTTTTGAGGGTCAAGGTCTGAAGGGGGTTTAGGGTTTAAGCCCCGTTTCAGGATACTGGCGCTTAGGGTTTCGGGTTACGAGATTTTGGGTTGGCGTTCAGGCTAGGCGTAAGGGTTTTGGAGTTTAGAAATTCCGGGCTGAAGAGTAGTCGGGTTGCGAGACCTCTAGATGTTGTCAACAGCGACGCATATACCGGAAGATTGCTTCGCAGAGGGTTTCGGGCAAAAGCCATGTCAGCTGCACAGCCTTCATGCCCCGTCCTAAGCCCTAAAGCAAATCCTACACTCGGAATCTAAAAACCCTAATCCCTAAACCCTAAACCCTTAGATTCCAGACCCGGAACATGACTCGTAAAGTCGGAGCATAAGCCCCAAGTGAAGATTCAACCCGGATCTTGGATCCTACACGTTTCACGACAACCCTAAAGCCTGAACCCTCAACCTTAGCCCTAGGGTTTAGGGTTTAGGGTTTAGGGTTTAGACCAAAAACCCTTGAACCCTCAACCCCAAGCCCTGATTAATTATCCTGAACCCCAAAACTATCTTGACGGCTTAGTCCTCTGAGCCCCAGACCCCTAACCCAAGCCCTAACCGAAACCCTAAGCTCGGAACCGTAAACCCTAAAACACAAAAGCCCCAAAGCTCCAAAACCCCCAAACCCGACCGACCATACCCTAAACCCTAAACTCTAAACCCTAAACCCTAAACCCTATAAACCCTAAACCCGGAACCCTAAACCCCAAACCCTAAACCCTAAACCCTAAACCCAAACCCGACACCGACCATAGGCTTTCGCGTCGAGCCGAGGTCTGTGGCCATGGCGATCTCAAGCCCTCCAACGTCCTGGAGCACCGAGGTCGGAGGGTACCCTAAGGAATAGGCACGGTTTAGGGTTTAGGGTTTAGGGTTTGCTAGAAGTATAGAAGAAGAGTTATAGGCTGTAGGGTTCGTGGCCCCTAAACCCCAAACCCTAAACCCTAAACCCTAAACCTTAAACCCTAAACCCTAAACCCACCTTTTTGTAGGGTTTCGGGCCTTGTTTCGGATTGCAGGGCTGGTGTCGGGCCAAAGTTGAGGAGCTCTGGGGGGGGGGCTTCCCAGGGTTCAGGCTGAGGGCTTCAGGGTTTAGGGTTTAGGGTTTAGGGTTTAGGGTTTAGGGTTTAGGGTTTAGGGTTTAGACGGTTTAGGGTTTAGGGTTTAGACGGTTTAGACGGTTTGGGGTTTAGGGTTTAGGGTTTAGGGTTTAGGGGGGACTCCCAGGTCACTTTCAAGGCCAAGTCGTTGCGTGGAGTGCTGCAGGAGAGTTCAGACGACTGGACCAGGGCATCCAGTCAGACTCATCGCTGCTCTTCAGAGTCCCCGAAGCCCTGAACCCTAAACCCTAAACCCTAAACCCTAACCATAACCCCTAAACCGCTTCAGCCCCGCATCTGACCAAGCAAACTTGAAGGCGCTGCTAGAGAGAAGGCTCGTGCCACAGATGCACTCGCCTCTTTCCTCAATAGACCCAGAGACTCCAATATCCCTTAATTAAGGAATATACCTCAAATCATAATAGGGATCCTACTATAACTTAAGGAATATTCCTTAATTAAGGGATATTGGAGTCTCTGGGGACTCCTCTTTGAGGCGGGCATGTTTGCAGCCGCCGACGGTTGAGGCAGAGCCTGGACAGGTCATCAGCCGAGCGAGCCGCCTTGAGGCGTTGCGGTCAAAGCTTGGGGGTTTAGGGTTTAGGGTTTAGGGTTTAGGGAAGATTTTGTGTGGATCTGGAGGCATCCTGAAAGCTTAAACCCCGAAAAACCGCTAGAGATCCCTACAAAGCCTTTATAAACCCTGCAGAGAACCCTTATTCAACGCCTACAGCACTTAGGGATTGGGAGTTCAAGTCAGGAAGGCTTCAGCTGCAAACCCCGAATCTCGGACCTTTCTACGATTTCGGGGTTTAGGGGTGTAGGGGTTTAGGGTTTAGGGTCTCCGCAAAATCACTCTATGAGCGTTTCGGGGTTTCGGGGTTTAGGGTTTAGGGTTTCCGCAAGATCACTCTAGATCTGGTGTTCTGTCAGGGTGCTCGGAGGGCTCTATAGGGTCCTGGGAACGTTCGGTAATATAGCAATATAGCGGCCTTGATAAAGAACAGGGTTTGGCACTATAAAAAGGACCCCCAAAACCCTATTCTAATTGTTAAGGCACCTAAACCCTAAACCCTAAACCCTAAACCCTATTAAGGCCCCTACATTAAGGGTTGTCATCAGGGTCGGAAGCGGCCCGAAGGCTGGTAAACCCCAGACCAAGCTTCCTAAACCCTGAGGTTCTCGAAGCACGACCCTAAACCCCCAAACTACACATAACATAGACAATTTTACCCCTTTGGGGTTTAGGGTTTAGGGTTTAGGGTGTAGATTCAGGAAACGGTAATAATATTCAGATAAGATTCCAAATGTGCCCCTGAGGTGATGTTCGACTGATTGACTTCGAGCTGGGCGGTGCCGACCTCAACCCTAAACCCTAAACCCTAAACCCTAAACCCTCAACCCTAAACCCTCAACCCTAAACCCTAAACCCTAAGCCGTGTCGTTGCAGGGCTCAGGGTTTCCAAGTCAGGAGTTTGGAATCCGGGCTCAGGGGTTTTTAGGGTGTATGATTGCAATGTAGGGGCCTCAGTAATTGCCTATGTTATTTTGGGGGTTCCTTATTAGACTTATACTGTAAAGGACCCCAAAACCTTATTCTAATCATGAAGGCCTCTTACATTAGTTTAGGGTGTAGACCTTCTTGTTCAGGGCTTTTGGTTTAGGGTTTAGGGTTCAGGCTTTAGGGTTTAGGGTTCTTTAGGGTGTATGTGTTCGTATGGGGGTTGAAATCGCTGAACGAGATCAGGAAGATGCTTCAACGTTCCTTAAGTTAGGCTTGCAAGGCAGGATTTTGCGACGAAATCTGGCCATTTTGGAACAGCGACCTACGTGTAGAGTCTAGAGATTTTGCTGAGCCACCATCAACCGAACCTCCCAAACCCCAAACCCCAA